GGTTATAAATCATTAAGTGACGTCTTTAATATGACAGCACTTAAAGCAGATTTAGTAAGTGAATTCCACGCTCACTGGTAGAATAATATAAAATACAATTCTTGATTAAAATATAAAATACATAATGCATGCAGAAATATTTAGAATTTTATTAAGGAAAGCATAATAAAAACAATAGAAACTTTGTTAAAACAAAAATCTTGAAAATGTCGAATGCTGATTCTCCCAGAAACCACGCGAATGATGTTCAGTGTGGCATCTTTGTTTATTCCTCTGGGCCGGGTTGTTCAAAGCCCAATTAGCGCTATTCCTGGGTTAACTCTTAGATAACCTATGGAGTGTTAAAACTCGCTTGGCCTGGGTTAACGCTAATCGGGCTTCGAACAACCCGGCCCAGGTGGTTTCTTAACCTGATATATCTTGGAGTACAGGTTCGACATGCCATCATTGCACACCATCATACGAGCAATTCAGCTTCAAGATCCCGCAATTCGTTATGGCTCTGATAAAGCCTTACTTTCTGCATACGCAGCATTGTTTATGTAATAGATCAAAGACGAGTGCAAGTGTTTCATCAGGGGATCCAAATACCGAGSAACTGATGAAAGCACGAGAGCACAGGCCGAGTGCTTTTATCTGTTTCGAGGTGTTTGGATTCCCCTGATGAAACACAAAGCACGAGTTTTTGATCTGGCTTSTCAAACAAATAAATAATGAATGACTGATTAGCAATAAGAAGTATGTTTAGAAAACAAGGGAATTTGCATGATTTAATTCAATTGTGAAATTTTCGCATATAAGACTGGCTTCAGCTGAACGAATTGAGTCAATACACCATGTAAAAGAGAGAACTGATGTGAAAGAATGCTTCGATGTCACCAATTGTGAAATCAACTTCTATTACAATAATTAAAGTATAATAAAAATGTACAAGACGTTGTTCAATAAAAAAGTAGCTTTCTACAGTATTCGTTGTTAGTTGACTGCCCATTTATGCGTGAACATTTGTTTAACGCAAATGCTGATAAGCATGCATTATTTGAAACTAAATGAATGATTAATGAATGACCAATAGAATCAAATCAGAATATCAAACCAAAAAAGTTTCGCGCGAGCGCYCAGAACTTTTGGAATGCAAATTAAATTTCTCGGCCTACAATCAGTGAGCTCACTTTACTTGAAACATTTCACAATTACCAAAGTAAACGACTCCCTGTAAGAGCTTGCAACTTTTCTTAATCATTCTGTAATTTTTGTATTCTATATTCGTAGCCGACTGCCCGACCGGTGCGTATTCATCGCGCGGTAGCTGTGTACCGTGTTCATCTGGTWATTACCAGGATCAACAGGGACAATCTTCCTGTAAAAAATGTCCTTCGGACTCATCATCTTATCCTGGTGCTACTGATATCAAACTTTGTAGAGGTTTGTACCTTGTTACACATACGCAAAATCCAAACAGCATTTATGGCGTGGAAAACTATGACTGGTTTTGATAATATTATGTTTCAGCTGTTTGTCGTCCGGGACATTATGCGAAGGATGGTATGGACCCTGGCTGCCAATTATGTCCCAGGGACACTTATCAGAATCTAAAGATGGCCACTACCTGTAAGCCATGCCCCAAAGGGACCACAACCCTGAGTCCAGGCCGAACTTCACTATCAGACTGTGGAGGTACCGTAATTTATTGTACTAGAAGAAAAGGGTTATAGCAGATATATACGGTCATTGTCCAGCAGTAGAGATTTTTGCGTATGAGTTCGGTGATCGAGAACATATATCGTGGGGCCAAAAAACAAATTTGCAAATTAAATTTGTACACGATAGTTACATCCGAAATAAAAAATATTTTTTATATATTTTTTTACCCCAAACAATCATGCATCCTTAAAAAACCGAGATCCTTTGCGCGATTTTCTCCACGCGAAAATTCCTAACAACTGATTTTGAATCAATAAGAAAGCAAAATTGAGCAAAAGATCAAATTTAAATCAAAACTAACCCCGCGAAGGGTCTATGATGCAAGAATTATAAGTGGACATGGTTTTGTTTCTCAAATGAAGCTGTGTCTCTGTATTACTATTTATTCTATTTTATCATCATGTTACATTCAAAAAGGCGATTCATTTTAGCAGAAATTGGTGCTATCATTTAACTTACTATTTCAGTTAAACCACAAATTACTAAACTCACACCGAAGACGAACACAATCGATGAAAAAACAACRACTTCTATAAGCTGTTACGCCACAGGGGTACCAACACCGAACATTAAGCTCAAATTCAGGAAAGTATTCCCTCGTAAGTATTTTGATATTTGTTACAAGAGAAGAAACTTTGTCAAAATTGACCCCAAAATGTGAAGAGAACACACAGTCCCATTTTGATGGGCGTGGTAGCGATTACATGTCACCCTAGAAGTGGACTAGTTAAAAACGTATTCCAGGGTTCGGTTTATATGGTTTGTATATCAGTTGGAAAATCACTATATATTAATGAACTGCTTTTTCTTTCTTCAAAAGCTGAGTTTCTTGGAAAGGAAACAAGAGATTTCATCAAAGATTCCAATGGCAAAATTATTGGAATCAAGCTCACAATTTCAGGCGTTACACCTGAAAACAGTGSYCGCTATGAATGCAGCGCTACGAACTCATTTGGTATGGTCATGGACATTGCTAGTTTGACTGTAAACAAGGTGTTTGGATCTGGTGGTGGTCCAAGTATGGACGAGGAAGGTAAAAAAATGCAATAACATTTCAAGTTCTCTATTGAAATTCCGTAATCGTTTTCACATCACRTACAGGTTTCGTTATATTAATTTTCTTAAATTTTAATAGATAACGTTACATTACACGTTACGCAACGTTATAATTACGTTTCTATTTCGTTTGCAGAGCTTTGGTAAAGTAAAGAGAGTTTGTCAACGGGTTGCTTTAATGTGCTGAAGTACTTTGATTGTTTTCTTTTCCATTATTTCAAATATCAATAAAGTTTGATGTCAACTCATATTTGCGTTTTCTGTTTTTCAACATTTCCTAGTAGACATCTGTGATGATTTAAAAAAAGAAAAATAAAGATAGTGTCTGGAATTTTCTTTTGACGTTTTAAGTTTCCTAGTTTCGTTTTAGTCTCATCGCATCCGTTATGAGGCTCGTTCCTAGTCTCTCCAGAGATCGATTTTTGTGGCCATTTTGATCTTTGAGAATAATCAAAGGTTTAGCTGAGAGGAGCTCACTTAAACGACTCAGTTCTAAACCTTCCCCAGGGTTCAGTTCATTTGAAGGGGAATTTGTAATTATATAATTATTTTACTTTGAAAGGAAGAAAAACAATTACAGTATACTAATGAATGAGTTAGTTATTACTTCGTTTGTCAACACCAAACAGCGTCAATCCGATTAATATAATGTGTTCAGAAGACTTCGAAAAGTCATTTAGTGCATGATTGTCAATATACAGCTATTTCAAAAAAAGGTTGTCGATGAAAATGGCGAATGTCAATTATCGAACGGCGATTGCACGACCGAAAGTAGCCATGGGTTTTGCTAGTTGAAAGGCAATAACAAATGATTTGTACTGCAAGATGGTCTGTGGTAAAAATTTACTCCATTTAGCCACCATTTCTGCGTAAGGTGAATTCAATAAGTGAATTTTTTTATCAAAACAGTGTAACCAAAGTCCCTTTCGGTCGTGCAATCTACCTTCGACAATCGTCGTTCTCCCCGACGTTTTTTGAAATAGCTATATTCCCAGGAAGGACTTTTAGTTTACAACTCCAGATAGCGAATTAAATGTTATTGGCATATTGTAATGTACTTTTTGCATCTCTATTTTGAATATTCTCGCCGAAGAATTTTAAAATAAGATACATGCAAAGGTTATTTGTTATGTTTTTGTATTTAGAACTGTATTGTATTAATATACCACATGCTTGACCAAAGAAATTGGT